CAAACAATGAGAACAATAGAAACCCGTTTCCTGACTTACTGAACACCCTGTATGTTTTATCAATAAAAAATTACGTTCTGAAATTGATTAAAACTATTTTAATACTAATACAAATATCTAACATTTAAGTAATGAGATGAAAATGTATGACGAAAATAAATATAAACACTACTTTTCTTAATCTGGTGACACGGTTTTTGTATACAAAACACTAACGCATTGTGTCATCGTCATCTCTTTAGTCTTTGTTCAAACAATTTTGGGTCTGTTTTACCTAATTGATTTAATAGGGTCTTCATACCGGCTGTCGACCTCTGACCCAACCTCATTTTGGCCGAGGAGCCCCAATATAGGGACAATGTGCGTGTCACTGTTAAAGTTCCCGTATAGTCACCAATTTAGAAACTAACAACAAACAGGACAGCTGAACATCAGTGCTAAGACAGTAATTGTATGATCCACTGCGGCACACGATGCCCCAACGCATACGTGTTGCAATTATCAAAGACTTAAAAAATTAACTTTTAAAATACATACATTTTTTTTGTGTTCATCAAGCATTTTAAAAACACGTAAAGTTAATAATTTATATTGTAAATTAGCAAAAGTATTAAAATTGGTGACTATTTGGGAACTAACAACAAACAGGGCAGCTGAACATCAGTGCTGAGACGGCGATTGAATGATCCACTGCGCCACACGATGCCCCAACACATACGTGTTGTATATTAACAAAGACAAAATAAATTAAATTTTAAAATACATAATTTTTTTTCGTTTTCATCGACAGGGCTGTTTCAAAAGCGGTTACTCTCAATTCGAGATTCCCTAATGCTGTTTGGGTGCAAATATTTTCTCTAATATCACCTACCTCTTTATTTGCCAAATACATAGAAGCGCTGATGTCAGGTGCCTGGGTATTCGATACACCAGAGTTGTTTGTGGTGCGGTGAATGCACTACATTGATTGTGGGTGTCTGGTGTGGTTGAACTTTATGATGTAAATACATTCATCATGTGTGTGGGTGCACGATGATGGGTGAGTGGGCGCGGGTAGTCATTATAGCCTACAACACCATAGGAGGATTCACTTGCGCTTCACTATCGCTATTTTGTGCTACAGTGCTATTCTGGGGTTCATCTACTATATTGATCGCGTCTGAACCGTGAGTCTATGATTCTATGATAGAAACATCTGCTGGAATGGATGCCCTAGGTGGTAGAAGAGTGGTGGCTGGGCTGTTTCTTTCCACCGTAACTAAAGTCTCAAGAATACAGAGTAGGCCGTTACGGCTAGCGGTTAGAGGAATATTGCTGAAAGCTCATTCGCGTTTGATCTCGGTGATAGACATTTTGTGTAATGTTTTTGCCATTTCCAGATTTAGTTTATTTAAAAGTGATGCAAAGAAGAAGAAAAAATAAAAAAAAAGTATTAAGAAATTAAGAGAGAAAAAAAGTTAAGTTAGTTCATAGGAGTTTATAGGAGTTTGGTTATATTTGTATATATCTAAATATGAATTCAATGAAATCGCTATACCTATTAAATAAGGGGGAAAGCTTAGAAAGATACAGAAAAAATGAAAATTCAATTTTTTTAAAATAACCAAAAGAAAAATAATTTTTTTTTTATTTTTTAAAAAGGGGTGGGATGTATGAGAGAAAAAAAAGTCCATGTAATTAACAAAATTAAATTTGCTAATATATTAGATATATGACTATAGTATTAGGAAAAGAAGAAAGAAGAGAGGAAAAAAAACTAAATTAAAATGAACTGAAATTTTAAATGAAAGTAGTAGCTGATTAAAACTTAAAGGAAAAAATATGCATGTATCTGTTGTGTATTGTGTGATATTAAATAAAATGGTAAAGTGTGAAAAAAAAAAAAAGTTGAAGTTAGTGGGTATTGACAATATATAAATAATATGAAATATTAATATTAATCAATAATATTTTTATAAATTCAACACTTTCACTATCTTTTTATGACTAATTTTTTAAAATTTTGTTTGTAAACCAAATTTATTTGATCGGAAATGTAGAAAAACTTTTTATTTTTCAATCACTATATGTTGCTGTAGTAATAGTAGATCTATTAATTAATTATCTGTTAGCTTTAAAATTATTTTTTGACAAAAAACAATAATACATATCGTACTGTGTTAATTGAGAATTAGATGCATTTCACTATAAAATATAGCATACGCTAATTACGTAAACGAACAGTACGGATTACTATGGCAAACGAACTTAAAATTACAAAAATAATGCACTTATTGTTTTTGTTAACAATATTTGTTTTGATTAAGCAATCGGACGTGGCTATTATTCCAACTTTTCTTTTTCTTAAATAATTATTTTTTAGCAAAGAAGCAAAGAAAATGAGTTAAAATTACTGAGCTTATCGCGTAGTGGAAATTTGCGAACGCGTAAGCTCTTTTAATAACAACATTTACTAAAACAGTAGTGTACTTAAAAAGCAATTTTTCGGTAAGCCATAGTCGATGAAATCCTACCTGATATTTTGAACACTGCACCGGGTTGATGAATCTCTGCGGGGAACCAAAAGTGGACAAGATAATAGGATTGTTGGTTATCTTGGTTAAATGTCTTAATTTGATTTATATAATATTTTACAATACGCGAGCCTTTTTCAATCATTAATAGAATTTGATTATATTTATGCAAAAGATAAATACGATAACTTATTGTTGACTGGACCAATTAATCAACACATGCTAGATGTAAAACTAAAAATAGATCTAACGGAATTTTTATAGCCTTTTTGGATAACGCACATGTTTGCAATTCATATGAAAACCAGAAGATGGACAATAATTTATCGATAAGATTACATATTACGAGAGTTCTAGAAAATATAAAGACATATTTATTGTTTTATACAACTAATTACTGTCAAAAAAATAATAAGTATAATTTATCAGCTAAATTTTACCAATTAGAATTTAAACTTGATGGACAAGAGAAGATTTCAATGATAGAAGTCGTAATGGTGGTAATGGTAAATAGAAATAATATTAATAATATTTTACGGCAAGGCGTAAATGTCGAAAATTGGGATTGTCTTAAAACATTTATCTTTACCAAATTATTCAAAATACAGATATTTTGGAAATTGTAGTAAATGATTTTGGGCAACAAAGTCAAGATAGTCGAAATGATATTATCAAAGATATTATTGTCTGCATATGAAGCTACCCGAAATTGTTATTGGTTTGATTTATGGATTTTAAAAATTATATTAATAAATAAGAATAGAATAATTGTGTACGAGTATAATGAACAAATGTGTTATTTTATGAAACGTAATTTTTATATATTTCATTTGCCGTTTCATAATTTTACAGCGTTTCAAATAGTTTTCCTAAATAAACCAGATGATTTCGCTGAAAGCTATAATAAAATAAATTCTAGTATTATTGGAATTATTGCAAGAAAATATAAAAGATATTTACAGATGAGTCATTTAAAATGATACAAATATAAGTAAATAATAAAGCTTATAACACGGATTAAATTAAGAAAAGTAAAAAACTTGGGTCATACGTTCAAATAAGCAAATAAAAAAATAATGAATAAATAAATTTCGAAAAATCTCTAATATCAATGGTTTGAATGATAAATTCAAAAGGCTTGTAGAGTATTTTACAAATATATTTTAGCATAAACTTGAGGTTATTTAATCGTTTAAGGAATTTAGTTCGGAAAACGATCTTGATTTATAATATATAAATATATTAAAATCATTTAAATGCCTTATAATTGTTTTCCATAAATTAATTTAATTTTGAATTTTAAATAATAATAAAATAAATAATATTTGAACAGTTATATGTGTGTATTTTTTATTTTACCAGTTAATTAAAAAAATAAATAAAGTAAAAAAAGTAAATTAGAAAAATTATCAATTGTGCTTGGAGTATTTAAATTATTTTATAAACTATGAATATCATTGGTAGTGAAGTTCTAAACCACAAGTAGAAAATATCTACGTAATTACAAAAGACGATTCGTGTTATAGCATTAAAACTAAGGTTTTTTGGTCGTTTAAAAAATTTAGTTTGGAGAAAAAAATAACTAAAAATCGAGAGCCGCAAGAAACAGAAAAAGAAAGATTTCTTGATCTATAATATATATGTATACAGAACACTAACGTATTGCATTATCATCTCCTTAATCTCTGTTTCAACAGTTTTGGGTCTTTTTTCCTTATTAATTTTATAGGATCTTTATACCGACTGTCTTCTGACGCAACCTCATTTTGGTTGAGGGAGCTCCAGTAAAGGGACAATGTGCATGTCACTGTTAAAGTTCCCGTATAGTCACCAATTTAGAAACTAACAACAAACAGGGCAGCTGAACATCAGTGCTAAGACAGTAATTGTATGATCCACTGCGGCACACGATGCCCCAACGCATACGTGTTGCAATTATCAAAGACTTAAAAAATTAACTTTTAAAATACATACATTTTTTTTGTGTTCATCAAGCATTTTAAAAACACGTAAAGTTAATAATTTATATTGTAAATTAGCAAAAGTATTAAAATTATAAAAAATTAAATGGATTTTGAAATTATTATTATAAGGTAGAGGTAGATCAAATCTTATTAATTTGTTAAACAAAGCCGTACGATAAATGTTCAGTAATTTTCCATGATAATAATCCAATATGTCTTTTTTTTATAATATCCTTAATTAAAAAAACTATTTTTAGCTATACAATTTATTAAATGTTGAGACAAACCCAATAAACTTCTTTGGTTCTATTTAAAAACCGAAAAAAAGTAAAAATATAATAACAATTTTACTTTAGAAACCTCAATTATATATAATTTATTAATTTATTTGTAAAGTTGATTAACACATAAAAGGAGTTCCCTCCCTAAAGTCAACTCCCTTAAAAATGAATTTTCTACTAAAATTTAGCTTCTATGAATTTTGTTTTACTTTTTTAGTTTGCACGACAATACTTACACATATTGAAATCAATCGATGATTAAAATCACAATCAAAGAACACAACTGATGTAAATTTGGATAAAGTTTTTTAGATTTTTGTACTTTATCTATATGATATTGTCATAATAAATCAAAATAGTTATTTAATACAAGTCATAGTTGGAGTGGTTTTTTTTCTTGAAAAAGGCTTAAATCAAAGGTTTAGANATAGTTGGAGTTATTTTTGTTCTAGAAAAAGGCTTAAATCAAAGGTTTAGATCTCCAAAATCTTTACATTCGTTTCCACTATAAGCACTATAAAAAAATTTTAATTTACTTAAATATTTCTTGATTTGCATGTAGAATGTTTTTTCCATCAAGCGACAGAATGTTATTTAATATTTTTTGGAAATATTTATTGTTTTTATAATTTTTAGGTTTCGTGGATAAGAAGAATTGATTACACAATTCTTACAATTGGATCAAGAAGTTATAGCAGCGATAAGAGATTCTATGTTGATCATACGAGACACTTGAAGGTATATAGATTATTACTTATAATCACCAAACTTATCTCTGAGCTAGAACCCACTAAAAAATAACTTATAAATAATTTAAAAACTAGAAACAACTAAAATTTTAAAATGGCCATAAATGCATTATTGATAATCATTTTGAAATTAATAATTTTCATATTAAACTTCACCTAGTTGAGGCTCCACCTTAGGCCAAACGTGCCTTTGGTGCGTTAGGTCCAACAGGCAGTTGTTATGAGAGTTGATCGATTTTGATAAAAGAACTCAGGTACGCCTTTGCGATTTAGAGACAAAGATCAATATAAATATTTGTAACATTTTGTTTAAACGAACATTATAGTATCAATATTTTTAGAATTAACAATTTAGAAAAAAATTCTAAGAGTTATTTATTTTAGTAGCCACGTGAGTGATGAGTCTTTAGCCCCCTCCTCCCAAATTCATGTAATAACTGAATTATTTACGAATAATTGTTGATAAATATTTAGCAAAAAAAATCATCAAAAAATGATAAAACCTTTCTTCCCTCATTCCCCTTCTCTCAAGAAAAAATATCTGTCTTCGCCACTGATTTATCCATCTATAAATAATTACACTGATTTTTCTTGTGTTCATAATTTGAACACACTATTTTAATAATTTTAGGATGCCTAAAATTTATTTTTTCAATTTCACAAAAAGTTTCTTAATTGTACAAACAATTTTCAACTGTATTATAAATTATAGCATATAATAAAATACTCACACACTTACATATCTTATATTTTTAAGTTTTTTCAATTTTTTATAAAATCATTTTGTTATTTTAGTTATTTTCAAATGGAGCGTATATTTATAAAATATAGTCAAAAACTAAAAGACTCTTTTTGTAAATATGTTGACAACAGCTTATTTATTCATACAATGATATATTTTGTACATAACTGTATGATAAAATAATCTAAATTATTGCGTGATGAATTTAGTTATAACCAAAAAATTTTTTATATTATTATAATGCTGTATGACATTTTTTGTTTTGTAGCAAAGTATTGTTTGTGTTAGTAAAAATATACATTTAGGTATTAAAAATTTAATAGTTCACAAAAGTTCACAAAATTGCATTTAACCCTTTATGTAAAAAGTCCTCCAAATAATTAAGAGTATAGTTCCTTTGTAATCAACACTTCTATACGGGAGATATCTCTGAACGAGATATAACTAAATCACTCCAACCTCATTGGTTTATTGACAATAGCACTAAAACCAAATGTGATGAGACAACAAAAAGGATTATGAGAATTTAAAAATAATAATACTAAAAAGCTTCCATTTTTAATCCTTAATTCTTTGGTTCTAAGAAATTCGAATATAAATACAAATTTTATTTCTTAATAAATAACAATTCATTTAATTGTTGTTGATAAAGTAGAACTTAGATATTCACGTTCGCGATTCAGTCTTTCGGATTATATTATGAAATGTTTTAGGGAAATGTTGAAATATTTTTTTTTATTATTTTAGTTCATAACATTAAAAAGTATTACAAAGTTATAGAACATTNTTTTTATTATTTTAGTTCATAACATTAAAAAGTATTACAAAGCTATAGAACATTTATCATAGAAATGTTTTTAAATGTATCTATACAATACCCTAAAATGAATTTTACCGTTAATTTATTAATATAAATTTTTACAATCATTTCACACCATAGGTATATGCCAATTTTTTATCATTTATTCTTCTATTTTTCGCTGTACGCATTATTATAAATGAATTAATACCGCAACAAAAAATCATTATTAATTATATTGTTTTAAATTTTTCTAGACGTGGAATTTAGAAATAACACCAGTAGAAGAATCTGATGCAGGCCTTTATGAATGTCGTATCGCTACACACCCAACAACAAGCATATTTATTCATCTAAAAGTTACAGGTACGTTAAATTATTTTATTTCAAAATTAATTATTAAAAAGATTTGCNAAATTATTTTATTTCAAAATTAACTATTAAAAAGATTTGCATACTTTTTATGTTAAAAAAGCTTCGAAAGCGTTAAAAAAAATGTTGGTGAATTCTAAAAACGTTACATTTCAAAAATATGAAATTCAATACTTTAAAAATATGTTAAAATATGATGTATGTTATTTAATGTTGATACTATTATAAAAACGCACTTGTTTTTTTTATTAAACCTACTGAATATGTTTAAAATATATTGAAATAGAACAAATTATCACATTATTTTTTATCTAGAACAGCACTAACTTTTAATATCTACATAATTTGAATTTTAAAATAAAACGAGCGTTTTAAACCAATCGAGATTTTCAACATTTCTATCACACAACCAGCAATGGATTACGATTTGTGATCTTTTTATGTGTTGTTGAAAGAAATCGGTTCGGTAAGAGCTGAGAAAAAGTGGTAACAGACACAAAAAAAAAATTATCATGGCAAAATTAATACTTTTTCAGCTTCGATGCGAAGCTATAAAACAATCATAAAATTCAATGGCTTATGTAACAATATATTTATTTTTTGCAAAAATAAAAAATTGCAACAAATTATAACTTTAAAAGATATATAAGATATTTTCAATTCTAAATTGTGTTTAAAAATATGAAATTATCCTTAATATTATAACAATAATCACTGATAATTCAACAAAATAGCGGATCCGAAGTATTTTCTTTAAGCATATTTAATGTAAAAATTAACAAAATATTTAATCCAAATTCATTATGAATAAAGACGGTTATTAAGTGTACCTCAAAAGAACAAAGATATGCATAACCCTAGATCAGAAATGATAAAATTCCAAACAGATAAATGATTAATCAAAACTGAATTTTTATTTTAAACTATTATTGCGATGATAGATGCATCGTTTGAGAATCAGAAAGTTTCAACTCAAAATAATATGAAACCTTTGATTCTTATTTAATTTAATTCGCTATATGATGAGTCGACATTATAACTTATTAAAAATTTCAATTGAATCAGATTTTTTTATAAAAAGGGCAGTTTTTTAAAATTCAGAAAAATATTTTGAAAATGTAATTTATTATAGTAGCATAATTTTAAGATATCTTTTTTTATTTTTTAAATTGAAAGAGTTTTATCAATTTTAGATAACGGTAGGTACAATTAGATTAAAGTCGAATTTTTTTGACATATTGATGAATAAAATGTAAACCCTGAGAATTTTCGTTGACAGATATTAAATAAATTGCACACTATCCTAAAAACAATCGAAACTAAAATCTATACACATCAGTCCCGAAAAGCCATAAAAGATGAGGCAAGTTTAGCCGGCGTCGTAAAAAAACAAAATTACATTTCAATTGTCTCGATCATTTACGAAAAATTTATAAAAAAATCTTAGAAAAAATTTGTTGCAGCGCATACAACAGAAAATTTATCTACGACTGAAGATTAATACAAATGAGCTCTGGTGATGTATAATTTCCGATAACTCGCATATCAAACTTGTTAGATGGACAAAGATGTCGAAACTTCTCAAACTTTTGAAGTTAAGACATTTGGAAATCATTGAAATTAAAGATAATGACTATGTTAATCTTTAACTGACCAATGTAATGTACAATGATACATATAATGCATTAAATAGCTATAATATTTCTACATTTTGTAAAAATGGTGAAGTGGAGTGTACACAATCTAATATTTGCCAACCTGGTCGCCGAAATAGGTTATGACATAATTACGTACACAAATATATTAATATTTTCAAAAACAAGAAAATATTAAACGCAGTCATATCACGCCGATGGCTCAACAAAAAAATTAAAATGTAAAATCTATGTGATTACACATACAAAGTGATTTATTAATCACGAACAACTTAAATCTAAAAATAAAAATATATTGTAGATGTGTTTTTATGGTTTCTTAGGCACATGTTTTTCTTACATTATTATTTATGATGTATTTATTCTGTTCATCCTTATACCTTAAAAGGGTGTCTACTTTATTTTTTCAAATGTTAACTTACGTAATTAAATAATTTATTTAATAGATAATGATCTAATTGGCCTTTTAATGACTGATCAATAACAGCTTTGTGGCCAATATTACAGAAGTTATTAACATTTTAAAATATGGAATGCATGAAAAGTACCACAAACAAAATTCTATTGATTTAAATAAAAAACACTGGCGTCTCGCCTCCAGTCATTAATAACTTTATCTGTTAACAATAAATAAAACGTTAATTTATAATAAATAAATAACAATTTTTTGTATACAATAATTGAAAGGGTAACCTTTTTCATTTTACAAATTTTAACATTTTATTTTGTGATATTCGCCGTTTTTTACAACAATTCTCTTATTAATTTAGTGGTATTATTTTTGAAAATAATATTAACTTTATTTACCCATGTATATTAAAAACAAAAAAAATTTATTTTTTAGTGGCCAAAGCAGAAATTTTAGGTTCTCCAGATTTATACATAATGAGTGGTAGTAGCTTAAGGCTTGTTTGTCGTCTTCGAGAATCTACACAAGCTCCTTCGTTCGTCTTTTGGTACCATTCAGACAGAATGATAAACTTCGATACGGATCGAGGACTCATTGTTCATATTAATAGCACTGAAAGCGATCTAATTATGCCTTATACAAATACTTCAGACAGTGGTAATTACACCTGTCAACCACAAAATATACAACCTGCTACGATTCACGTGCATGTGTTGCAATGTAAGTTTTATTCCTCTACTATGATTACTTCACTATTCTAGTTTAAAATTAATAGGATATAAACATTAACTATAGATTATGTCTATTTTTTATATGCTATATTTAAAAACAAATCATTTCATTATACTTTTTACATTTTGTTACATTATAAAAATAATCCTGAAATACTAAAAGTTTAAATTATGGCGATGACATATCGAACAAACTTCCTAATTAAAGAAATAACACTAAATATACTCGTTAAATATAAAAATATAGTTACATTATTTTTCAGTAATATTCCTTGGGACTTAAAATTAAAAATATTGTTATACTTTACCGTAAAAATCGACAATTCTAAAATTTTACAACATAGTTTTTCAAATTTTCGGTCATTGCAATATTATACAATATTACTGACGTACCTAATCGTAAAACGTACAACAATCAATTCAGTAAACTCGTAAAGTTTTTATACATTTTTTTAGTAAAAATCGAATATGTTAACATGATTTTTAACCAATACGTAAGTGTGAGGGAATTTAGAAAATAAAACGGAGTCATTGTCCCAAATGATTGAAGATTTTCAAAATATTGTGGGCCTTACCCAACTCAATCTAATAAGCATTTATATAATTTTATTTATTTAGTTGATGACTGGGGTGAAATATGTTGAATGATTTTGTTTTATCGTTACTCTTTAATCATTTTTTTTTTTATTAATCATTATTTGATTTTATATTACGAGTTATCATAAATTTATTTCTTTAAAATTATTCTTAATGAACATTTACCAAAAAAAAAAAAAATTGTTTATTATTAATTTATATTTTTACTGAAAAAATGTCAAGCCAGTTATTTATAATACTGACAAAATATTCCACAATTATAATTTTTCGTGCATTTTACTTTTTTATGACCTAATTAGAATATTCATTAGTTTTTTTGATACAAAAAATAAACTTGAGGATATACTGGTATCAGTACTATTTAATATTTATTTGTTTTTGTTATTTTCAATATACATTTAATATTTGTTTATTCTTGTAATAGTTTTTTTGAAATCACCAACCCCTAACACAAGCAATAGCTTTATTTATTGGATAGGTTTCATGTGTCTTAATCATATTGAAATAAAATAAATAAATAAAATAAACATTCTTTATTAAAAACATAATAGTTTAATAGAGTAATAAAAATAAAGAAGTTTTATACTAAAATAATAATCAAAAATTATTATTTTTTATTACTTCAGACTTAATAATTTAATTTGCAATAAAATAGAATAATTTTTATACGCCGAATTTACTTATAATTGATTAATCAAACTATTATATTAATATTGCTAAATCGCATGTCTAGTGAACGTTTTAAACGAATTAAAAGGTGTCGAATTAACCTCATGGAGAGTTCATTAACAACGCATTATTACCCATAATAATAGTTATTTTAATAACCACGCTAGGCCATTGATTTGCACGTGTATAATATTATTTTATAACATATTTTTCAGCTGAAGCACCAGCCGCCATGCAACATGGTGTTCGTAGTACTACCTCTGGGTCATTTGCAGTATCCAATTGTGCGTTATTCACTTTAACATACATGGCAATGCAAATGTTAAGCTAAAATGGACTGATTAAAATGTAAATAGTCTTTTTTTAAATTTAAAGTATGTCATACAGATTAAATCTAGGTTATGTATAAAATGTATGTATGTTAATTTTTAATACGATGTAACACAACACGCTCATTATTTAGCTTTGGGAGTTATTATCGAGTAAAAAATTATTTATTGTTGAATTGAAGTTAATTTATTTAATTTATGTATATCAGTCTGAATAAGTAAGAACTTTACCTCATTTTTTCATTAAATAAAGATTTTTTCATAAAAATGTATTCAATTAAATTAGAATTATTTTTATGAAACATAGTAAATATTAATTTCATTGTAAGAGTAAATTATTATTTCTTAGTGTAGTTTTTAAAGGTAATATTCAAAAGTTAAATTGGAACCTATTATTTTTTTACTATTAAATACGGAATGAATAAACTAAAATTTTAACCGGTTTAAAACCAGTTTTGCAATATTAATTTTTGAGAAGGTGGCATTTTAAATTTAGAAAAAAATGAGGTGGTGTTTACCATGACGAATATATAACAATTTTACTTCGCTCCGCATTCCGCTCCCGTATAAATAAAAACTATATTTCATTAATTAATTTTTTTTAGTTCAGTGATTTTCTACATTCATGAAGTATTTTTATATTTATTCCTTATACTTCATAAGAATATCAACTTTAATTTTTCAACCACATAATTAACTAACTTATTTATTAGATAGTAATCTAATTAAGAAAATTTTTGATAATGGACGATAGCAACTTTTGAAAAGTGAGTGGTACTAGTTGTATAGCTAAAGATTTTTCATCCTAGGTATAAACATTTCAATAACTTCTGAAATACTGGTTTAGAAGTTTTTATTAATCAGTCATTTTTCTAATTATATAATTATCTATAAAATAAACTAGTTAATTATGTAATTTGCAAATAAAAAAAAAAAAAATTGCACCCTTAAAGGATGATTATAATAAATACTTTATGATTGTTAAATTGAGAAAAACAAATAAATAAAAGAATCTAGATAGTAAATTATTAATATTATTTTTCGATCAAGTCGTTCAACATACTATACAGGAATTATCTTGTATAGTGGTGTAATTCAACCTTAAGGTGGCCTTTTCAAATTCAATATTTTTTATATTAAAAAGCTAATACATTTTGATAACATTTTTCATACAAATTTCTAAATGTTTCCTTAAATTTTATTTGAAAAAATCTTGAAGAGCCACAAAACCTCGGAGCAACAAAGTATCACTTTGCCAGCTTTTTTAATGTTTCGCCACTGGGTTAATATTAAAAACTATTAAATAGTTACAATATAATTTGCAATTAATAACTATTATTTCAACAGTTCTGCTTTCAAAAATATTGTAATAGTACTAGTAAGTGTTATGTGACATAATTTATCTCTAGAAATATTATTAATACAAAAGTAAACTCAGTTTTAATTTTATAACATGAAATTAATTAAAATTTTTATACTCTATGCAGAGATTTTGTATTTTTAATTCTCTAAAAATTAGTAAAATAAAAAAATACAATATTTAATGTTCCATCAAATACTATAATTTTTCAAATTTATTTTTAAACTGTCCTTCATTTATTTATATTATTTAAATAATTTAGTAAAGCAAACAGACAGATGTAAGTACTATTTTTTAAAAATTAATGTACATGAATTATTTTAAGAAAACAATTGTTTCAAAGATTCCAAAAGTATAAGTTACAGTTGATTAAATTATATTTCTATAAATTATGAATAAAAGACTGCATAAATATAGTTTTTTTGTGCATAAAATGATAAATTAAAAATTTATTTTAGTAACTATGATAAACAAAATTTTTTTCTTAATTTTAATTATTTATCTAGATAAGAATATAAATAAGTTTGCCCATTATCATATTGAATATTATATAATTGTGTCTGGAATAGAAAATTTAAATACTATAAATTAACTACACTGATAGTTAATGTCAAAATGTTCATAAATCAACAGAAATGACTCCAACGGCATAAATTAATGCCATCAAAATAAACTAATGACATTTTATAATGAATGTACTTTACAATTATTTAATATGATATGACTTAATTACAAAGTTAATTTTGAAGTATAAAAATTGTCTCGTTGAAATTTTATGGTAGGTTTTTACTTAATTTCAAAGTACATATGCATAAAATAATTTTTTTGTGAATATAAATTAACAATTATGTAAAACTACTTATGTTTGTTATTATGATTGACAAATATTGAATAATTTTGTTTGTTAAAATTATTAAAGTCAGTTAAACTTACTCATTATTGTAAATCAAGTATAAATAATTTATTACACTGGAAATTTACTAGTTACCAAATATGTATATAAAGTGTATATTTGTTAATAAAGAAATACTCAAAATGCTAGAACTTTTGTGTAACTGTGTTACAAATCCTAAAAATTCATCCTTATCATAAATATTTAATTAATTTCAATTCATCATTTACTTACAAGTTATTTAGTATATTGAAATTTTTTTATTTTTCTATTGAGCACTTAATAATAATATTTTTACCCCCGAACAATGAGAACTTAGAGCAGCACTTAATTATTAAAGATTAAAAATTATACTTAAAAAAAAAAAAAGTTTCATCTTTATAACAAAAACTAATACCTTAATGAAATAACTATTCAGGTTCTATAAAAATTAAAACTCCGGTTAAAAATGTATTATAATAATTAGCATAGTATCATATTAGAAAAAGCTCATCTCCAGTTGTGTGGATGATCATACAAAATTCCATATTATCATCATTATCATCTCAGCCTCTATCCCAACTATTTGATGTTGGTACTACCTTACGATTTGACAGGTTTTTTCACTAGCTGTCCACCCGATGAAACCTCATTTTAGCTGAAAGAACCACTATATGGGTAATGTGTGTGTCACTGTTAAAGATCACGCGTAGTTATCCATCTAAAACGAACAGCTCAGTTAAACATCAGTACTAAATCTATGACAGTATAATCCGCTTTACTACATAATGCTCCAGAATCATAAAATTTTAAATAATATCAATACAATTTTATTTAATAAATTTTTGTCGGTAATTTAAATAATAATAGATTTTCTTTTATGAATTCAATGATTTAAAATAATTTGGGTTGGGTTTTTGAAGTGTCAAATGGTCAAAAAAATTTGTTTATAATATTTTTCATTTTACGATACATTAATGAAACAATCAATCTTATTGGATTTAAATATTAGACTGGATGACAAAACAATTTTTAAAAGTTTAAACTTTCTATGCTACGTCAATCGGAATTTTTTTATATTAAAGCAAATTATGTAAGCTTTCATTTTAGATTAATAGTATAAAAGTGTCAGCATATTTCCTGAACATTTTCAAAAATTAGGTAGAAAAAGCTAATTATTTGTGGTAAGTTACCATTTTAAATCCTACTAGTAGGTAAAGAGTCAAATTGTTAAAAAATATATAATAAGAATCAGATTTACAAAAAAAGTATACAAAATGATAGTTGAATATTTAATGTATCAATAAAATAAATTGTTTCTATTCATCTATATTTCAAAAAGTTATGAAAGTTTTAAGTAAAACAAATTGAAAAAATGTCGAAAATTATGTATTGTTAAATTTTTAATTTTTGGGTATTTACGGGGAACGAAAGAAATTTTTTCAACTTTTAAGGGTAACAACATTGACTAAAAACGATTTGTGATTATTTGACGTATTATTAAAAATGTGGTTAGTTGAGAGCTGAGAAAAAAAATGATAACAAACACATAAAAATAATTGTAATAAACAGATCAGATATCTTATCATCTTCGTATCCAAGCTAATAAAATCTTGTTATAAAAGGTTTCTAAGACTCGTATTAGACCCTCAACTTTTAATTATATTTTAAAAAAAGTCGTTAAATCTCCTTCAATAGTGGTTCGGTAATATAAATAACTTTAATATTTAGACTTTTAGATACTATGACGTGATTCTTATTATTAATTTATATCTTATGTTTATTCTTATAAAAATGACGGTAAATAAATTTTACACATAATAAATCGCTTTTAAATTGTATTAACAGAATTATTTTTGGAAATAAAATTGTCAATTTCATAAATGTATTATGAAAATATCTATATAAATGAAAGCACACACTAAAATACTTAAAATGTATTATATGTATAATTTAAAAAAAGTGTTTTTCTCAAGAAGTCATACCAATAGTAAGTAATTGAGATTATAATTATGATTTTACATCAATTTTCCGTGCTAACAATTTTTTTTGTGATATTTATTAATATCCAATTTATAACATATTGTTATAAACCACGACCGAAAAATTTTGAAGATAAAAAAGAACTTGAATTAGCATGGAAATTGGATACTGGGTATTTACGATTAACACAAAATTTACCATCTCGTGTGGATATAAAAGAATTTAAACGTATCATGACTAATGATGAAAACAAACCAACAACATTTAAACTACACAACAAGTCACAAATTATCTACTACAACCTTTATTGTAGTAACTTAAAGAACCTTTTACAATATATGAGCCTTATTGGTTCATTTGAAAGAATTCAAATATTAAAAGAAAATGATAGTGTACTTTTAGATGAATCAATTATTAAACACATGCTAGCCCTAATGCTAAAGACAGAGCTAGCTGCACCTTTAGATCCTTTATGGACTATGTTTATGTATGCATTTTACATAAGAGAACAAAGGAATTATTTGGATGGTAACTTGGTTATACATTTTAAGGATCTTATACGAGTTATAATAGAAATTTTAAAATCACATGCAGAGAAAGATTGTGACATAAATATTACCAACGCTATAAAAACAAATACAAGTAACACATTATTATACAAAATTGAAGAAATAAAAAATGTTATGAATGTTATGGATAAAAGAAATCGGAAGAATTCCTTTTATTTGAATGATATAGTAGTAGAAAATTGGATTTCATTTAATAAAATTTATCTTAACGAAGTTATAAAAATAAAGATATTTTGAAAACTATAATAATGGATTATGGAGAACAGAGTCAGAAAGTTTATAACGATATCATGGTAGATATTAATACTGCATATAAAGCTGCAAGGAATTATTATTGGTTTGATTATTGGATTTTAAAAATAGGAGATTATCAAAAAAAAGTTTTTAACATTTTTAGGAACGTAGCTTTGTATTTTATAAGGAAACATTTATCGTATTTATTGTTTAATAAAGATAACAGCAAAACTACAATTAATAATACCTATATGTACGAATTCTTGATTGATAATGATACATTAAATAATATATTTAAATTTAGATTGGCAGATATCTACGATACTTTGTTTTTTTTCTCTGAAAAACCAAGTAAAACTAGATCCCTTGATGAAATAAATAGTGACATTATAAAGCGTATTGATGAAAAAGTTGATTTTTACTATTTTGTCAAATCATTTAATATGATCTATGAAGATAATGAAGATATTAAAAAATCACTAAAAGATAAAGTGGAAACTAACTTCCAAAAGTTTAAATGTTTTCTAGAATATTTAAATTGGGTATATCAGAAAATCGACATTAAAATCGTTCGGTCATTCATTGAGTATTCTACAAAATTCATATATGTTAAGCCCCCAGGAAATCAAAAAAAAGAAATAAAATACCTCGAATTTTAATATATATTTTAAATATAGAAAATTAATTATGTTTTTTATATGTTCATTAAAATTCATAATAATCCAAATTTTATTCCAAATTTCAAATATCAATAAAATAAATAATATTGAACGAATGTATACGTATATTTATTTTATCAGTAAAAGTTTTAAAATTTGACAATAAAGTTTTAATTTATCATCTATTGAACTAAAGTACTACTAACTCGTCTGGGGAGTGCTATATTTAGCCTATTCAAATATTTTAACATTTTGCATTGCTATAACTATATTTATTTCATTTTAAAAATTAAAAACTATAAAAAATCATGTATTTTTTTTTAATTTTAACTTATGGTAGCCTTATGTATTTAATTACTTAAAAAAATATTAATTGTATAATAATAATGCTAATATACGCGCTTAAATATTATTAAATACAAATTTTAATAAAGACACTTTTTGGACACCTATGAAGTCCAAATATGAATTTCGTCGGTATTTTATCATGATAAATTTTATATACCTGTAAATGTTATTAAATATTGTAATGCTGTCAGACTCAATCAATATCATTATTTAATATCTAATAAGTTATACAGTGCCTTTGATATGTTAATGAACTGTTGGTCATGTAAAATGACAATATTTTTAAACGTTAAAGAATCAAAGTGATAACAATAGTACCATAAATCTTAAACTGTTATAATTACAAAGAATTCATTCATTTTACACGATCCACACTGTTAACTATTTGAGCTTCGATGCAAAGCTGAGAAGGTATTAATTTTAGTATAATGTGCTTTTTTAATTTTATTTTTTAGCTTCGATGCGAAGCTGAGAAGGTATTGGTTTTACTATGATGTGTTTTTTTTTTTTTTTGTGTCTGTTACCACTTTTTCTCAGCTCTCACCGAACGGATTTCTTTCAACGATACGTCAAAAGATCACAAATCGTATCTAGTCGAAGACATTACCCTTCAAAATAAAAAAATTTCCCTCGTTCCCCGTAAATGGGGGAAACCTCCAAAAAAATTACAAATTTAAAAATCGCTAATTTTCGAAATTTTTTCAAAGATGTATGGATCAATATAATTATTTTTTTATAGATGCTTGATGTCTTTACCTATCATTTGGTATATTTTTTTTTGTAAATTTGACACTTAACCTGCTAAACCTGCTGGATTTAAAATGACAACTTTTTCAACTTAACTTTTGAAATTGTTCCGGAAGGTCTGACACTTTTATATATATCTTAAATTAAAGCTAATGTAATATACTTTAATTTGAAAAAAAAAATTGACCTCTGGACTTGTCTTCATGGTAAAAATGACTACCGTATTCAAAATTTGCTATTTTTGTGTTAAAATTCTGTGTTTTGTATTTTATTTTATTTTAAAATACCTAATAAGGGGAGTACAGATTTTCATAAATATTATATAAATTAAAATTAATATAGCATAGAAAGTTAAACTTATTTAAATTTGTTTGCTTCTTTTAAGTTGAGAAAAATAACTTTGAAATTTGAATTAGCTTAAATAGCCAATTTTTTCAATTGACAGAAGCGACGTACGGTTGCTGAGTTAGTACAACTTTTGTGTTACAAGCTTGGGGTACGAGGTTCCAACCCGCGTATGACAATGAATTTTTGCATTTTTTCTTAATTCTTTTTAAGTTAGTATACATTTTTAACTCGTTTGATTTTTATCTCAGTTAGATTCAATAACTTAAAGATCTAGGATCGATTTGCATCGAAGCGTTTATTTTTGATAGTGATTTTAATCACTGTCAGATATCATTATACTTGATCGAACTATGCCACGTCACCACTGTGCTGGGTTTTTTTTTTTTTTGTGTCTGTTACCACTTTTTCTCAGCTTTCACCGAACGGATTTCTTTCAACAAAATGTCAAAAGATCACAAATCGTATCGTATCGAAGACATTATCCTCAAAAATCGAAAAAAATTCCCTCGTTCCCTGTAATTGGGGGAAATCTAAAAAAAAATTACAAATTTAACTATCGCTAATTTTGATATTTTTTCAATTTTTTTAAATTAAAAACTCATTAAAACCGTCACTTTTTTAAAAATGAACAAATCAATATAGTTTTTTTTTTTTAGATACATGATGTTTTTACCTATCATTTGATATATTTTTTTGTAAACTTAACCCTTTACTTGCCCACAGAGAGGATTCAAAATGACAACTTTTTCACAAAATTAAACCTTTGAAAGTGTTCCAGAAATATTGACACTTTTATATATACTTTAAATTAAAGCGTATGTAATATACTTTATTATGAAAAAAAAAAATAATCAAAACTTTATTTTGTCTTCACAGTGAAAATGGCTACCGTATTCTATTTTTGTCTTAAAATTATCGATTTTATATTTTACATTTTTAAATTTATTTAATTTAATGATATAAATTTTTGAAAAATGAATCGATCAATACAATTATTTTATGAGAAATACTATTTATATACTTCTTTCATTCAACTTACTTTTTTTTTTAAATAAAACTATTTCCCTTCATATATTTATATATTATATGTATATATTTATGTATTACACTTATAAATCATAAAACATGTAATCAGAATATAAATAAGTAAATAGGAGATCATGTAGCTTTTGGACTAATCCACCATTATTTTAAAATTAAACACTACCTTCAGATTTGCATCGAAGCGTTCCTTATGATAGTGATTTTAATCACTGTCAGATATCATTATACTTAATTAATTAAGAAAATAAAAGTTGATGTTGTATCATAGCGTTTCATATAAGTGATTAATATCATTGTTGGATATTAACTATATTTGTCCCAACTATCCTACGTCCATACGGAGCCCCGAACTCAATGTGTTAACGTTTTTTATTTATGTGTTGTTAATTTATTAAATAAATTTGAAAAATGTATCGTCATTGTCAACATATTGTATACGACAATGACCTTGCAATTTGCCAAATTGAAGTTTGCCCATCAAATATAATTCAAGTAATTTTGTTACCCAAGTAAAATGTTTATTAATATTACAACTTTAAATAGCAAATACAATAGTTACATATTATAATTAGATCATTATTTATTAAATAAGCTAGTTAATTATGTATATACACACAAATAAACATACTACTATGTTACAGACCCCTCTCACCTAATACTATTTTAAAAATCATATTTATTCAAAAATTTGTATTTTAAATTAGCTATTAATCAAGTAAATTCATAAAGGTACTCTTTGAGAATTAAAAATAGTTTAAGTTAGAAGATAACATAATTTTTGCCACTTATTAAGGAAACTCAAGGTACAAGTGATTTATATATATCATATAACCTAACTAGGAAATTAGTTAAATAATTTAATTTTTAATTTTTAAGTTAATTGAATACTTTTAACACTCATTACTCATTTATATTGAATATATTTGTTGGAATTTTTCGTTATACAATAGTTTAAATAACTTAAAATTTTATAGTGTTATATTATTATTAATAAAAAAAATTATTGTATTATATTCAACAAACTAATAATGTAACCTCTATAGAAAAGTCATGTTGGAAATTTAAATCAGCACATACAACTGAATGACCGTTAATTGTACGAAACTATATTGCCACAAACGAATAAAATCTTACCCACCTTATCAGTACAAATGTCTACTGCTAAGAGAAAGATAGTAATAGTTGTTCAAAACAGCAGGCGTTATCTTCGAACAGTCGGTATTGATAGTGTGAACTGGTTGAACACGGAGATAGTGGTGGTAATGCTTGATCGTGAAAGTTGTATGCCGCCACTTTTGACAACACTGGGTCAAATAGTTTTCATTGTCTAGCAGTGTGTTAGCTTTGGTTGACGTATTCTAGTGTTTCTGTGCGTTATGTTGTGTTATTGTTACCGTTACATAAACGACACACGCGTTTGTTTTACCATATTGCTGTTCTCCGGCCCATTGCATAGAGCCGTGAAAGACTGAGTTAAAAGTTGTAATCTCGCTGAAATCCGAGTAATTAGTGAAAAACTTAGACTCCGGTTTAATTCCGTGATTATTAGACCTCTATATTTAAGGTTGGAAGCTACCACAGTGAAGTCAGCCAAATCTGTAGAGTCAACTAGTTGAATCTTGTCATACTACTCTATGTAAATGTATCTATAGTTTAATTATTAACTGTAATTACACTCGTATTTAGGGACTTTCAGTATATTTATTAATTATATAAACAAATCAAAATAACCAAATAATTTTATAATATATACAAATTACAATTGTACTAATGTTCATTTCTTTTATTTTGTATTTAGGTATATATATATAAGTCATTTGTTTTCTTCTGTATTGATTATTATCAGTCATACGGGCGAACCGTTATTGTAGGAGCTCCTTGGCCAACAATAGCATTATTCATTTATATACATTATATGTAAAATTTTTAACATTAAAGTTGTTACACAAAAAATGTATGTACAATAATCATGAGAGAAGGCAATTCACTAGCCTTTTGATAAAAAGTAGATTACATTAAATAAATTTTTGTATCTCTTATATGAAAAATATCAATCGAGAGATATTGTTTTTAAGTTAGTAAAAATCACAAAATTATTCGGGTTTTTTACATTTTTAGGAATATGATTTTGTGACTGACAAAGTTAAGGTTAGTCGTACTTCAATAATTGATTGCTGCATTAACAAATGATCACGCTAAATAATAGACCTTTTAAATCAATAGAAGATTCTGGCTTTAAAAGAATTACTGATCTTCTTTTTAAAGCAATTAGTTTTAGACCGAACGCAGAAATGATACGTAAAAACTTAAAGCACGCTTACACGTGCTATTTATATTCGGCAACTTATCTCTAATGTGATAAAGGACACATTTTTTCGTTTAAAAATATATTTGACTATTAGCCATGACCGAAATATACTTAGTATTAATGTACAGTACATAAAAATTTCAAAGATATTAATACACACTTTAGCCATTACTGAAATTGATAGTAGCAAGTCGGTCAACTTGAAAAATATAGTTATTAATATATTGGAGAGGTATAATCTTAAGGCTGGAAAAATATTTTCCATTACAACCGATAACGGAGCGAACATGATGAAAACAATTACATTATTAAAATACGTGGAATGTGATATTTAAATAAATAATCAATTTTTGATTGACAACGAAAGAATAGAAGATCACGACAATGTTATTGAGGAAGAAGAGGGATAATAAAATAATTATGAAGAGGAATAAGAGAATGGAACTGAAAGTAGTATTGAAAATGATGAAAATAATGATTTATTGAATATGGAAAATGACGATTTGAAAATAATTGACTACATCAATTGGGGGGTTAAAATATATTATCAGTGATGTGTTGTGCAACTCACACACTACAATTATCGATTTTAGATGTCCTTTAATTAATGGCATAATTAATAATTGCATTTCAAAAATACTTGCTGAAGCTCAATCTATTATCAAAATTTTAAGAAGACCAAATATGCAGACAATTTTAAAATAATTTGAGAAAGCGGATTATGCCTTTTTTATCTCATCAAAATTTTTTGACGCTATTCAAGAAAACTTAATTAAGCAAAGAAAAATGATTTAATAAACTTATAGTAATAACATGTGATAGATCATTATCATAGTCAATTTATTAAGATTATTTAATATTATGAAATACTGTATCTTGTCACATAATAAGTTTTAAACTATTTTTTATTTACATTAAATAGTCTACATAACAAGGTGTTCAAAAAGTAATGAAATAGGTCAATTTTTATTACCAATGTAAACAATAGAAACTCGTTTCCATACTTACTAAACACTTTATATATAATTATGGTAGGATTTTTCTAAATCATTTTAGAAAAATGATTTTAATTTTTATTGTAAATTATCTTGACCGACCCCAAGTAGTTGGTATTAAGGCGAGGAAAAAGAAGAAGATTGGAAGTTATCTAACAAAGCGTAGGTGTATTTAAATTAAAATTTATATTATTTTGAATCAAACGGCTTCAGTTGAAGATAATCATAACACACAACAAAAAAGTGTAAATATAATTGAAATGTCTTGTTGTTAGAACACTTAATGAATTTAATAATCTGGTACTTATAATTTAGTATATCAAAAGTTTAAATATTATATACTATTTAAAACTTTTATATTTGTTATTTATTTAAATATTGATTCAGATTTTTGTTTTCACTATTAAAATGTAATCTAAAATGTACGGTCATTTTCCTTATTTTTTGTTTTACTAATATGACAATGTAATTATATATCTACATATTAAACTGTTTCACGTATGGATGTCTATAATTAATAATTATACGTAAATATCAAAAAATATACCATTTATTTATTTCCATAAAACATTCTACAAAATATTGTCAGAGTTGTAACGTCACAAATTCGAAGGTTTTACAAATTTTGTAAAGTTTACTTATTTATTTTTTTGTCAGGCAAGATATTGCACGAATGAATCTTTTTCTGACACGACAATGTCAACAACTCATTATTTTTGCTGCTGACCGCCAGATAAGGGCGATAGACAAAAGAGAATACATATAATTAAAAACGAATTGCTTATCGGTATTGATCCCTCCCCAAAAAACTGGCCGTTACGATTAAAAACTGCCGTTGGATCAGCGTTTGCTCTTCATCCTTTGTCGCGGTAGCGATAAGCGATGTCAACAAATTCTAACTAAGTTTATTTGAATTAAAGTAAATTTAAACTTAATAATAACCACGACACGATTACTTTTTTTAACAGAAATGATAAATATATTACGACGAACAGTACACGATTCATATTTCAACTGAGTTAATATATATAGCAACAGACTGTTACAGTACGTGCCCGTAGAAAACGCTAATCGCAGACTGATAAGAGGCCGCCGGACTTGATTCGTATGTTAACAACGACGGTCGCCGATAAGCGATAAGGCATCTCGGGTTTTGTTAATGTGCAATTTAGAGGAGCACAGAACGGCCGGTGTATTACCATCTTGATCCGGGTGATATCCAAATCAGTCCGATGGTAATACCCTGGCCGCGTCACCTTCTTCTGTCATTGACCCGTGCTAGAGTTCACATGTTTCTTGTCACTTTTTTCAATGATGGAGTAGAGCCGCGAAAGGCCAAGTCTCTTCTGTGAATCATTCAGACCATTGGATGGGTCTCTTCGTAGACCGGGTATCGTTTTCTTTTTTATAATTATATTTATGTAATGAGCTGTACTTTATTAATTATTTTATTTCATAATTATTTTATTATAAATTAACTTAACTTTGTTTATGTGTGGAGATCACGAGTTTCGTCTTTCTCCTAGCTAACGCTAAGGAGCGAGTGTCCAGACCGCTCCTGGTGTTTTTCATTAATTTCCTATTAACATTAACGAATGTGTTCTAATACCGTCCGTGGTGTTTGCTATATTATTTGATTTTTTTGAATACTTTATTTTATTTTTGTTGCCTTTCTTTGTAGACTAATAATTTAAAATTAAATTCCACCTATGGGTCCGGTAATAATATCGGATAGTTGTGACACTTCACCTAGGTGGTGACGACCCTTGTTACTATTGCTAGTCGTTATGTATTGTGGTATACCACGTTTATAATATTCTAAAAACAAATTTTTAGTATATTGTGAAAATATAATATTTGCTACCAAAGTGTTTTCTGAGAACATGTGAGAATATTTCAAAATATTTTGATTATATCTAGAAATATGTCATTTTTATGTGAGTGGGTACGCCACTGATAATCAATTATACTCTAACCAAAGTCACACTCATATCTCTTCATAGATTATAATTAAATAGATTTTCTATATAGATATAGTTAATTTATATATATTTAATATATAGAGCATGATAAACTTATCACAATGCAATCAATTATTACAAAATAAAAATAACATCAAGAATATTTTTTTAGTTACATAAACATATTTATATATTTCTTGAGTTATCACCTACTAATTACTTTTTATAATCCTTGTTTATAGCTTATAGAGGTTTCAACCTTATATTTTTTAACTAAAACATATAAATTTAACTAACTTTTAAAATGTAAATGATCTAATTAAGAAAATGATTGGTCGATAACAACTCTTTACCTAGTACTTCAAAAGTTATTATCCTTTTTTTATAGACGGGTGGAAGAATGCGCCCGATAAATTTCTAATAATTAAAATAGTCATAACTGTGTTTTACCTATAGTCTAAATTTTAAAATCTAATAAACTCCAAAGTACTGTTCTAAAGGTTGTTATCAACTAGTCATTTTCTATTTTAAATAAATAAAGTTGAAATCCTTATTAAACTAAAAGAAATAAATCGATAAACTACTCTGCTGCAACGTACCGTACAGTAAAAAAAAAAGAAGTAACTTAAAATAGAAAAAAAATAATCCTGAAATTATTTTTATTATGTATGTAATTAAGTAGTTTTTGATAAACGGATCATTCTGTATAAATTAATAATCATAGGATTATTTTCTTATTATCTAATTAAAAATAAAATAAAGCAACGAAAATATTTATTTTAAATAGTTAGTTTTTATTGTTAACAGAGTACTCGAATTTTCTCAAACAACTAAGTTCTAGTTTATTACTTTCGATTTCATTAACATCTAATTTCTAAATGGTTTTAAAATTTTTTTGAAAGGCGCTTCGATGAATAAATACAAAATTAATGCGTAACATGTTGACAATACCAAGTCTGAGCAACTTTTTTGAACCTAATTTTATGTACACTATTTATTAAAATACTTATAATAAAACTATTAGTTATATTAAAACTGTACCAATATCCAATAGCTCATATACACCGGATTTCTTACTGAACCAACATCTTGCAATAGAACAATAAAGTGCACCAAATAAATAGAATAAGTCAACTGAGCAATAATAGAAAATATAGAACAACTCATACATTTTTTTAAAATCCCTAAAAAAATTAATTCATTTTTTAAATTAAGTTAATTTAAAACTAATATATTCAGAGTAATTCTTTCAGTTAATATTAAAACTATTTATTCTAAATAATAATATTAATATTGTAATATTTAAATTATTATTATTTAATCTAAAAATAATAATAATTTTTTTTTTAGTTATGTACTATTTTTTATCATTAAATTTTTTTTATATTCATCCAATATACTATATGTGAAGTCAACTTTTTTTTTTAATGACAGGACTTGAATAATCAAGGCTTGAAACTGATTACCCAATTTTCTCAAAAACTCATTAAATCCCAAAAAACATTAAAAAAAAAAAAAAAATTTTTCAAAAAGTTTTCAAGAAGAAAACCTCTTTTTTTAACACGCTTATATTAGTTTCACTTGTATTTTATTTAAAAAAGATTGATGGTAATCTATTACTGGTGATCGATATTTTTTTGAAAATTATTAGCCAGTATCCAACAACCAAAATATTAGAGAATCTTTTTTTTCAACAAAAACCGATAACCTATCTTTAAATTAACCCGTTAAATACAAAAATGATATCTCAATGAAGTTTGGTTAGAATTAAAAACACATTTTTACAGTCATGCCATATTAAGTCATAATCATCATCGCTTTAGCATATATTTTTTGGTATTGCCATTACTTTACAATATGACAGGTTTTCACACCGGCTTTCGACCTAATGCAACCTCATTCTGACTGAGGAAGTCAGTATAAGGATAATGTGAAAGCCCATGTTTATGACAAAATTACACTATTTGTTAAGCCAATCAACAAAGGAAAAATGGCGGAAAAAATTTCCAACCAAACTTTTTTTTTTAACTAAGATATAAATATAATGACATAATAGAAGTCCTCATCGATTAGAATTGAGCTTTTAAAATAGATGGTTTAGTCATGTTATGAGGAGAGAAGAATCGGAAGCTATAAGAATAGTTATAGAAATGAATGTTGAAGGAAGAAGAAGTAGAGAAAGACCAAAAAAGAGATTGTGGGATGTTATTGAATGCGATATGAGGAAAGCTGATGTGAGCGTAGATGATGTGGGAGTTTTTGTCAAGTGGAATTTTAGGATAAGTAGTTGGTATTAAGCCGAAGAAAAAGAAGAAGATTACCAGAAATTCTGGTGGCAATTGACATAGTATAATTGTTGTTTGGGAATGTACAATTTAGCGTTTGGTTGGTTGGGTATAAACAATATAACGTCAAATCAATTACCTACTCTATCGGTTGTATCTTAATATACACTACACTTTAATGATACTATAAATAAATAAACTCACACATACTCACATATGCATTTATAACATTGTGTCTGATGTATGTATACATGATAAAAAGTAACCGTAAAATGGAAAAAATGGAAAATAAATTTAAGTACTCATATTAAATGTAATGTAACTCGAAAAATGTTTGTTTAAATGAAAAAATAGAAAATATTTTTTTTGTTTAAAATTATCTTTTAAACAACTTTTGTACGATTTTTTTTTGTAAGTTAAATATTTTTTGAGAAAATTAAAAAGTCTTATATTTTGAACTTTTGCAAGGCTGTAAAAAAAAGCTCAATTCCAATCGATGAGGACTTTTAGTATGTCATTATAAATATTTTAATTTAACTTCAAAAAAAAAAATTGGTTAGGAATTTTTTCCGCCATTCGCCAAAATTACTCCATCGTTGACTGGCCTATGTGTAAAATTAATACGTATATTAAAATGTCATACTAACATATAGAAATTTTTGGAACATTTTTTATGTTGTGTTGTAAATGACTTCATGTAAATATGATATTAACGTAAGAATAAAAAAAAATATAAACATCAATTAACTATGCTGATTTTAAAATTTAAATTTATGTAATCTAGAGATAATAACAATTTAGTTTAAATCGCTAGATTTTGACTACATCTTGATGTAAATGTCGTAAACAACATTAGTCAAAGACCAGATGTTATCAATTGCATAAAAGCAGACTGTTATCAAGATAAGCCGCCAGTATAGTTGCAGCCACCGATTAGAAGCCATCACTCTGAAGATGGACTCTGCAATGAGTCCGAAACGTAAACATAGATAAATCCTTAAGCACTTCGAGCAATAAAACAATCCATTAAAGCTTTAGCAAATTCATCAAATCATTATTTTAGCTTTGATACAAAACTGAAAAGATACTAGTTTTACCATGAAGTTTCGGGGCTAGTGTGTATATATTTTAGTTTCCATAGTTTTTAGTATAATGTGTGATTTATTTAATATTTGTTCATGAAAATTCCCAGATTTTACTGGACCCATTTTAATAAATAATACTTCAAAATATTTTAATTTATAGAGCATACAAAAGATAATAAGCTTTTTTTATTTAATTTTTTTGAAATTCTGGAAACTTAACTATAAACAAAATTTAAAAGAAACTAAAACTTACATGTAAATTTTGTTTTTCATATGACCCTTAAAAATATTCTCGAAGTCTCATAATTTCTTACTTATATCAAATTAAAGTTTTTGTAGTGTACTACAATTTTTAAAAACAATTTTGTCTCAATGATTGTTGATTTCTCAACTATGAGAAATCCGCCGTCAAAGCAAGAATATAACGTTATTTTTAATTAAGCAAATAATGAAATAAGCATTTAATATTTGAGTGAAATTTTAAAACAGAAATTATAAAATTACTAACATACAAATTATGAAATTTCATAGATTCATATGGAAGCGTTTTTTTTGGCAGTGACATATTAACAACGGTCAGATATCTTGTCCCAACTATCCTTCTGTGCTGAGTTTTTTGTGCAGCTATCAAGTTCCTTATATTGGACGTGATTGATAAAGAATTGTAGATACGAGTGTGATGGTTATTAGTTATATTTTTAAGTTGCATATAATTATATATCATTATTTATACTGGAGACTTGATGGCCTCTATAACTTTTAAACGTATATTAGTAGTAGATTTGTAGATAATAGCAATAGAATTTATTATTATCATTTTCGTCATTCGTTGTGGCTGAAGGCAAGTCTATTTATGCATGTGTTTGTTATATTATATAAATTGATTTTGTTAATATAATAATTAGTTTATAATTAAATAATAAAAGTTTAATTATTTAATATTATCTATTCTGTGATGTTATATGAAAATATAGTTTTTTAACTTTTAATAGTTTTGATACAGTTGTCAAGTAGTATAGAACAAAATGTTTAAATCAAATCAGTACGTGTACTTGTCATCAAAAAGCCTAGCATCGTTGAAAAATTAAATTTTAAATTTAATTATTAATATAATTAAATTAAATTAATATGTATTATAATATAATGTAATTTATGATTCTTTGTTTATATTAAAACAAAGTGTAATGGTATAGTTTAGATAAAACATTGTAAATTGAAGTATTATTGTATAATGTGCGACAACATCATATGGGATTTTTACGTTCGTTCTAAGTGGTGGCGGCGCTGGAAAAATGATGCCATGCGTAAGAAGGTGATAAGAAGATAAAATAAAAAAGGTTGGTTATGTTTTTTTAAAAAAATAAGAAGAAATATATGTTATGATATATGTTTTTTTTTAAATGAATACATTTTTTGTTGAAAATGAATATGCTTATTTTTTGTATATATGAATATTTATATAAATTTTAATTGTTGTTTAATACAGAAACTAATAATTACTTCTAATTTTAACAAATTGAAATAAAACCAATTATTTTTATTTGTAAAATACCATTTCAAGAGAAAAATCTTATCAAAATACAGCGAAAGAATTTACTTATTTGTTGTCAATAGATAACTTAAACCATCACAGTAAATCAAGATCAACGGTATAAATGATTATTGGACAGGTTTATTTATATGTAAATTCTTATAACAGTAAAAGTTACTACACACAAATAAATCATCTTATTACACACTTATACACCTCAATAGTTTCATCATAATAGTAAAATTTAATAATTATATATATTAATTATTAATATATATAATTTTTTATTGTTATGATTTAATAGTTAATAGTTTTTATTAAATACCATAAAGTGTTATGACTAATGATAAAATGTTATTAATTATTTAATTTATAATTTTGTTATGTATTAAATGAATTTGTTCATGAATCAATTTCCCGTTCCATAACTTTCCTAAATCTTTTAATGCTCATATCTCAAAAAGCAGTAATACAAAATTTGTGTTCGTCTAGTCAAATTTTATATTTAGATCATTCTTTATTTAATAGTAAAATTTTAATAAAAGTTCCCCATTTAACTTTTGAAAGTTATCTCAAATATCTATACTTGGAAATAATTTTTACTTAATATAAGCTTTATATTTACTATAGTTAATGATAATAAATCAACTTTTAATCTTTACTTTTTCATGAAAAAATCATTATTTAACGAAAAATTGTATGGTAGTATAATTAATAGATCACACTACTATAACAAGGCAAAAAAAAGATAGTCAATATAATTTTTATTTTAAAATTAATTAAATGATTCAATAAAAATAAAAACCCTGCACCAAAATTCAAAGTCTATTTTATTCAGTATTACGGTGAAAACTTACCTAGATTAGATGTAGCATCAACTAAAAGAATAAAAACAATAACTAATGAATAAGTAAGACGTTGTACAGTAAAATATACAACATGATGCCATGGATTGTAATCTACTTCAGGTAAATAAAAATATCCAGTCGCAAAATAGCATAAATTATGAAGAATTATACATAATATAGATCCAACGATTTTACTAAACTGCAAAGTAGTTTGTTAATCTATTTTTTTTAAGTTTTTCTTTCACGCATACTCACTTTTGAAAACTTGAATTCATCATCTTTAAACTTAGTGTATATATATCCAGCTGCTATACCAACTAAATATGTCATTAGCCTGTGATGACTTTTAATGTATATTTGGTTAAAATGGTCAACATCACGTAAATTACTCATGTTACTAAATATAAGAATTATTTAAATTTATTATTACAATTTAAAATTATATTTCATACATTTTTTGAAGAACGCTAATTTTACCTCTGAGTATAATGCATAACTCCCCACAACTTATGACTATAAATATGCTTTGCTGGTAAAAATATTGATATTGTAAAAATACTACCAAATATCATAAGACCAATTTTTTCCCAACGCCAAATTATATTGATCAATAATAATCCAATTATAAAAAAATGCATATCACATGCTAAATACCAGGCAGGAATCATACACTTAAACATAAATAAAATACATTTTTATGAATAAAATTGTACAAAACAAGAAAAATTTAGAGATTTTCAGAGTTTTATATAGCGTGATTCTCTTAACGCTAGCCATTTAATTTATCTTTAAGTTATAAATTTATTGAATGTTTTTCTGGCTTATGTTAGTTACATATGTATTACCATTAGGGTGTCCTTAAAATACAAATTTTTCAAGATTCGATTTATGCGCACCAAAAAATTGTTCTACTACTTGTAAAAATAAGTTAAGCATAATTTGGTCTCTATAGGTTAATGTTAACATGTGCCACAAGAGAGTAGCAAATTCGATAAAAATAGTAATTTTTCAGTTACTGTGCTTTATTTCAAAATGTATGATTTTTACGTAAAGGTTTATGTAAAGAAATTATACATGTAGTTATTTTACATAAAAAAGGTTATTAGCAAAAAACTTTTAAGTCAAATATTTACTTCCTAAAAGTCAAAAGTTCCATAAATATTATGTTTACCGGTAGAATTTATATATTTTGGTAATTTAAATATATACAATGAACCGTTAAAATGATAAAAAAATATATATATCATGAAATTTAATATTTTATAAGTTTGTAGTAAAAAATAATTGTTTTACGTGTTTTCTGATGAAGTAATAAATAAAAAACCCAGCACAGGGGAGTCGCGGGACAGTGGTGACGTGGCATAGTTGGATCAAGTATAATGATATCTGACAGTGATTAAAATCACTATCAAAAAAGAACGCTTCGATGCAAATCTTTAGATAGTGTTTAATTTTAAAAAATTGGTGGATTATTCCAAAAGCTTCATAAACTGCTAGTTCCTTATTAATATCCTGATT